AATACCAGGATTAGGGAGAATACTAATATTGGTATAAAAAATATCTTTAAAGTTAGAAGACAGCTGAAAAAAGTTATATTTCACAAAGCATTCACTAATAAAATTAAAAACATTATTAGTGAAAGCGTTGATTTTCTACTTGTATGCACAGTATATCATAATCACGTTCAAAAAAAAGAGTATTAAAAGAAAATTGGACCTTGTAGTTGCCAAATGAATCACTCATTGTATGGGAATGCCAAATAAAAATTATCCATTTAGCTCTGGTTGGCCATTCCACTCACAGTGCTTATTACACATTATTTTTTCCATTGAGAGATGCTGCTTGGCAAAAAAAACCCTGCATTCATTTGCCTAATTCATGCTCCCTTGTAAAACCTATGTATTAACAGGGGCTGACTGTATGAAGGGTCCTCCGTGATAGTTTCTTCATAGCTATGTCGCTGCCTATGAGATGACTGTGAAGTTGGCTTCAAGAAAGGTAGTGCTAGCATTTAGTGCATCTAAAGCACTATCAGTATGGCCTAATTCCCCTGTAATACAAGAAATTTAAAATTCAAATGAGCGTACTCCATTTTCCACATGTCACCATCAGGAGAGCTACAGAGGCAGCTCAACTCACAAAGGGAATTTGTGTGCAAATGCAGGCCCTTCATATACTGGTGGAAAGAGGCAGAATACAAACAAGACCTGTGCAACACTTTTATACTAAATCCTCTTAACGTGCAGACCAGTCCAAGTTCTATTATGAACCCAAAAGCTCAGCCTGGGTCCAGTTCCCTCAGACCTCAAAGCTGTCATGGGTTAAAGATGGGCTGACAACTAACTAATGACAGATGCTGTCTATTAAACCCTCTCCCTTCCTAGAAGGGGAAGAGAAAAAGAATAAGGGAGAGAGACTTAGGGGTTGGAAAAAACCCTAAAAAAACTAAAACAGCTTTAATGAAATAGTAACAATAAAAAGATAACACTATTAATTAGAAAATAATGAAATATATACAAATATATACAAAACCAGTGTCAAACTACCCCAATAATGATCACCTCACTACTGAGGCTGCAGGGCAGGCACCATGGAAGTCCCAGACTGGCCTCAGCAGCAGGCGGGGACTAGATTCAGGAACTGGATTCGGGAACTGGATTCAGGAACACAAGGATCAGGATCAAAGACAGAAGAATTGACAGAGTCCTCCTTAGATGCTGGCCATTGAAGAAAAGGGCTTAACCCTTGTGACCCCTCAGCTTTATACTGAGTATGAAGTATATGGGATGGAATACTTAGTCGGTCAGTTTTGGGTCACCTGTCCTGTCCGCTCCTCCCCGCAGGTGCGAACTTTTTACTTACTTATAACCCTTTTACTTACAGCACTTCAACATGGGGTACAGGATTTAGCAGTGACCTTCGTTTCTATAGGAGCAAGTATAAGCAAGAGCCTTTCTGCACACCATTCCTTGGCAGTAACTATGAACATTAAGTGCTGTCACCGCTAGAAGCAGACACTGTCTGAAAAACTATGCCATTAACTTCAGAAAGGGCAGTCACTTAGGTGAGACTTAGCTGAAAAGTAAAATCACTGAACAGAGAATTAGTTCTGTTGTAGCCCAAACCAGAACAGAGGTCTCTGGGGAAGACCCTTGTGCAGACCCAGAGTGACAATGGCTCCCCATGGGCTGAGTTTGTTTACTTCTCTGGGGCCCTGTTGACACAACCCAACACCGATGTGTTTTGTCGTAGCACAACTCTGTAAGTTCAAGGGCTTGGCCCTTCATTTCCCCTTGAGTTTTCAGGTTCAAAATTTCAGAATGAAACCAGGAGGCCCAAACATAAGGTGATGTCCTTGTAAGTCTCAGAGAACAAAACCAGCAAACAATGACACAGTCTTCCCTGATGCCTGCACAAAACTATGAAACATAATAGGGCTGCATAAAGCTTCTTAAATGACTGAAAGGAAGATATGGAAGCAAGATTTTAGTTTGCAAAATTAAATATGGCGAGACATGAATCCATTTTCCTTCCATTTGTAACTTCTGAACTGTAGCTGATTCAGACAAAAGGTTCTGTTTTGGCTGATATAAACTGAAAGCTCAAAATCAATGACAGCACGCATCAACATAAGCAAAGACAGAATATAATGTTCCTGTGGTGGATTAACCTGGCTGGATGCCAGGTGCCCACCAAAACCGCTCTATCACTCCCTTCCTCAGCTGGACAGGGGAGAGGAAATATCACAAAAGGCTCGTGGGTCGAAATAAGGACAGGGAGATCACTCAGCAATTACTGTCACAAGCAAAACAGACTCAACTTGAGGAAAATTTATTTAATTTATTACCAATCAAATCAGAGTAGGATAATGAGAAATAAACCCAAATCTTAAAAACACTTTACCCCGACCCTTCCCTTCTTCCCAGGCTCATCTTCACTCCCAGTTTCCTCTACCTTCTCTGCCCCGAGCTGTGCAGATGGATAGGGAATGGAGGTTGTGGTCAGTTCATCACATGTTGTCTCTGCTGCTCCTTCCTCCTCAGGGGGAGGACTCCTCACACTCTTCCCCTGTTCCAGTGTGGGGTCCCTCCCATGGGAGACAATCCTCCAACACAAGTCCTTCCCACAGGGCTGCAGCTCTTCAAGAACTGCTCCAACATGGGTCCTTTCCAAGGGATGCAGTCCTTCAGAACAGACCCTTAGGGTCCTGCCAGAAAACCTGACAGCAAACCTGCTCCAGCGTGGGGTCCTCTCTCTCCACATGTCCACAGGTCGTGCCAGGAGCCTGCAATGCGGGCTTCTCATGAAGTCACAGCCTCCTTTGGGCATCCACCTACTTCAGCATGGGGTCCTCCATGGGTTGCAGGGGGACAGCCTGCCTCACCATGGTCTTCACCACGGGCTGAGGGGAATCTCTGCTCAGGCACCTGGGGCATGTACACCACCTCCTTCATCACTGACCTTGGTGTCTGCAGAGTTGATTCCTTCACATATCCTCACTCCTCTCTTTGGCTGCAATTGCTGTTGCTCGGGCCGGGGGGGGGGGTTCTCCCTCCTT